ATTTTAAATATTGAATTATTTGAAACATTTAATCCTTCATCTCTAGTATTTCCATTTTCTATGTCACTATCTCCAGTGTTGTTGATATCCTTCCTCTCAGAACTTTTATTATTTTAATTCCTCTTTCTTGCCTGTCCTCATATTTCATACTTATCTCATATATAATCTTACCTATTCTTCTATCCATCCTGTTATTCAACACACATTTATTGAACAACCAACAATATTCAATCAGCAAATATTTACTGAGTACTTCTGTGCATCAGGCACAGGGCCATAAACATAAATAAGGACTGATGCTTACCTTCAAGGATTTTAGTCTTAGAAATCATACATGTGAATATTAACTGCAACAAAATTTTAATACTACAAACAGGTTTGAATAAAATATTTTAGGAGCACAGAAGGAATAGGGCAGAGGAATAGGTGTACAAGAGAAAGCTTTGCAGAAGGACAACATTTGAACTTAGTCTTGAGTAAGAGATTGTCATGAGGAGATAGGATGCACAGACATTCTGGGCTCAGAAGAAATCAATGAGTAAAGAGGCACAGAAACATGAGGAAGCACAACCACCTTTAAGAACATTGAACAGTTCAATGTGAACACAGATTCAGATATATACAAGGGAGTTGAGGGCCATGGGGCAGAATTGACAGGATGTGCCTCATTTTATACATTTATCAAGGTGAACTTGAACTTGTGAGCGTCCAGAAGTTAACAGAAGTTAACAGAAGTTTTGTGCAGCTAAGTAACCACCACAGAATTGTTGGAATAAAAAGATTTAGTGACAGTGAGGAAGGTGGACTAAAGTCAAAATAAAGTAGGAACAGACTGGTAGAGTCTGTTGGGTGAGAAGGTGTGGTACCAATCTAAAGGTGAGATAATGAGCAAAGGTTAGCATGAAACGGAAGAGATGAATTCAAAAGACATTTCTGAGACAGAATCTACAGAATTTGGCAAGTAATTGTGTATTCATGTTTGCATGTATACGTTATGTTAAAGTGGGGAGAAAAAATGGGAGCATGGCAAGAGTTGGGAATGGGCTTAATCTTCTATTTTGTGGAGTATTTTGTTTTGTTGACAGAGGACTAAGCAGGTGTTAATGAGTTCCACTAAGAAAGAATCCAGGAAAGGAAGCAGGATCACAGGCAAAGGTGGAGGGAAAAAGGTAAGGTAGTTCATTTTCTTTACAGGCATCTGAAGCTTGAAGTAGCTGTGGAGTAACACCACACGGAGACGACTCAGAAAGCAGAAGGAAATATGTAAATGAAGCTCAAAGAGATGATGGTTAGATAGAGATATACACTATGCTATGGACTAAACACCATCAATATACGCACGGTATTTAAAGTCAAAGGAGTAAGGGGGTGCCTGGGTGGCTCAGTCAGGTAAGTGGTTAAGTCAGTGAGTCTTGATTTCAGCTCAGGTCATGGTCTCACAGTTCGTGAGTCCTGCATCAGGCTCTAGAATGACAGTGCTGAGCCTTTTTGGGATTCTCTCTCTCCCTCTCTCTCTACCCCTCCCCTGCTCACCTGTGCACTCTCCCTCTCTAAAAAAAAAAAATAAATAAACTTAAAAAAAAGTTTTTAAGCCAAAGTAGTATAATGTCCAGCAGGAAGAGAGACAGCCAAAAGGAAAAACCTGAGAAATAAAGTTTTATGAGATCAGCAGGAAACAAGAACATGTTGATAATATAACCAGAAACGTAAAAGAACCAAATGATGAGGTTAAAACCCATGGAAAGGAAAGGCTTGAAAAGAGTATGCACAACAGTATCAAATGTCTTATCTCATTACAGCTTGTGTTTTTATTCTTTACATCAATTTTTAAAAATTTTTTTATGTTTATTTATTTTTAAGAGAAAGAGGGGGGGAGGGGCAGAGCGAGACACAGAATCCGAAACAGGCTCCAGGCTCTGAGCTGTCAGCACAGAACTCAAGGTGGGGCCTGAACCCACAAACCATGAGATCATGACCTGAGCCAAAGTCAGATGCTCAACTGACTGAGCCACCCAGGCTCCTCTTTACATCAATTCCACTACAGAGAAAAGCAATGCCCAGAGTGGTTGCTGACTGTCAGAGCTCACATACCAGCGAGGAGCAGAGGCAAATGTGAACTTGCTGCTATCTAGGTGCACGGCTACTATTTTTCCCTTTAAAATCCATTGTCTCTTCAGCAACAGTTTAATTTGATTACCTAAAAGCTCTAGTTTTTGAATTTACCCTAAATTAAATGTGGGTAATATCTCTCTGTAAAGTGTCTAAAGTAAAAAATTGTATGACTTCTTATATATGAGCTTTCAAATAGCCAATTATGGAGGCTTTCCAAGCATCACTGGTTTCTATAATCAATAATTCATCTCTGCCCTTACTGATTCTGCCACAGTTCTGTGCTTTCTTCCACCTGCTCTTCTTCCAGAAATTTCCCTGGATCTAGCATTTATCTGTTTCTCTTCCTCTAGTTGAGATATGCCCTCCCCTCTTTGCCACAATCCAGGGTCCTGACCACCTTCCAGGAACACCATAAAACCCATCTTCCCCACTGATTAACTCCCACCATTAGGAATATTCCATTATTCTGTACTCTCTTGACATTATTCACACACTAGAGCATTGAATTTTGTGTCCTTGTTTATTTAACATTTTCAAATGTGTCTACTCTTTCTCCTCAGTCTATAAGCTCTTCAAGGGCAGATGTGGCTTTCCAGAGTCTATTTTTAAACCTATTAGTTAAATGAGGATAAGAACAGGGGTAGGGATGGGATGTTAATAAAGGTGGATGTGGCTTGACTGCCATAGGTTCAAGGACAGAGTAGACTAAAATAGGCACCAAGTATAAGTAAGGTAACCGGCTATTCACATTTTTAATGTGATATGACATATGGCATACAAATAGACAAAGCAGTGGCACCTAGAGGGTACTGCAGATTTTACAGGAAGCAGATCTTTAAGCCAAACTTTAATTTTGCTTTCTCAGAATAAATACACTTTAAATAAGTATTTGAATAAATTATATTCTCACAAAGTTGATCAAATGTGTACTTATACTGCTATGTACTACATAAGTCAACAACATTTCAAATAAAGTAGTATTGTTCTTTTAAACTTCCCTTAAATGTGTATTCTAGAAAATGTTTTCCAGTATTACAGTTGGACAATGAAGTCCTCTGCAGCCCGTTAATGGCCAAGACACAGTTCCAGTGCTAACAGTATCTAAGGGCAACACAACATAAACCCTGGCTGGTTTCTACATCTGCATTTCAAGGATAGAATGAAACCGGCGAAACTAAAAAGAAACTCACAGAAACAGCCCAGACTAGACATCATACAATAGGTAGTTATTTTTTTTGGAAGTCCGACATGAAAACGAATTACAGAACCGTTCTTTCATTATTTCCATATAACTTAAAACACACACAAATATTTTCAGGTTTCTTTTTGGGGGTTTGAACTCCCAAGTTCTTCCTTATTTTAAATACAAAGCAATGGAATACCTATGCACATGGAATAAGCATATGGCGGCCTCCTTGGAAAGGCTCTATAATTGGCTCTTTCTGTTTGAAAGCTCACAAATGAAGAAGTCCTAGAATTTTTTACTTTGGACAAACAGTTTAAAATACACAAAAAGCAGACATGTGAGACATTACCATGTCATATCCTACACAGATTTTTTGCAAAGGGCTAATGACTTTTCTTAGGAACTTTACTGCAACAGTATGGGGAGACATAACATTAGCTATATGTCATACTTACACTTACTGAGATCTTGCAATATGCCTGATAATGAGCTAAACTTTACATAGGTTATCTTGTCAATCCTTACAACCCTCTGAGGTGAGTACGCATGCTGGACATGAGAAAACTGAAGTAGAGAGAAATTAAGTTGCCCCAAGTCACACAGCTAGTGACTATAAGTGCCAGACTTTAAACCCAGACCACCTGATTGTCAGGTCCTGATTCTTAACCTCTAATGAGTGCTCTTGAGTGCTACCTACTTTCTTCAGGGTAAATTTTTTTTTTTCTGGCAAAAGTTAAAATAATATAATGCTATATTTTATAATGGGTAATGTGAACTTAGAACTTCTATCTATCATGAAAGCTGCCTAAATAGGAAATACCCCTCAACACTATTGTGAATGCAAAAAGAAGAAAAACTAGAACGCTTTAAAATTAACTGCACCCTACATAAGCATTGCCATCACCAATGATTATTATCAATTTTTGCTAGTACCTTCCTAATTTTAGTATAATAAATATTTGAAAAGTTTTCTAAATATTTCAGGCATAGAGTATTACACTAATGAGTTATATACTAATAGCTTTTTAAAAGTAAGTTTGATTCCCAAACTTGGTACTTAATTCTAAAAATTAATATGAGGTTTTTAGGATAAGTCACTTATTTTTTTTAATTCTTTGTCCAGGCTTATTTTCACTTGTCAAAGTGCAAAGTGCATAAATAAATCCAGAAGAAGAAAAAAAGTCATTGCCAAAGCACACATAACATAAAGCAACCACAGAAATATAGCCTTCACAATGTTATTTACATATTGGTAAGAAGCATGGACCCTTTGGAAAGTTATCGACAATCTAGAAAACTGCTTCAGATTATTCTTCTTTGATTTTTCAGATCCACCATTCATAAGAAAGTTCCATCAGTTAGGAATTAGGAAGTAATTGTTCTACTAACTCACTTAAAAGCAAATGCATCAGCTGTTCAGGATCGCCAGTATAGGAATCTTCCTAGTAAGAGTAGAATGTGAAGCTTTTAGTAGAAACATTGCATCTAAAGGTATTTAAGTCTACTCCGAAATTCAAAGCACTCTTAGAATAAAAGGAATCTAGTAAAAGAATATGCAGAGGAATATACTCCCAAAGAAAAATTTTAATTTCATACAAGACAAATGGTAAAGATTAAATAATAGCATGAGGTAATTTAACCAGGAAGACTGAAAGCATTAATGAACATTTTTTTGTACATACCATTTGAAAAATTTCCTTACCATATACTGCATATTAGATGCTGTTGGATACACCTGACTTCGTAATTTATTATGAAGGTCCAAGATACTCTGCATGTCATTGTCTGTGATGGCCCTTTTCCCTCTTTGCTTGGCCATCCACCACTCACCATCCTCATCCATGTACTTTTCCAAAAGTTTCTCCAATAAAGTAGCATTAGGAACTACCATGGCTGGAATTGCTCTAGCCATGAATAGCACTGTGGTTACTCTGAGCCACTCCTGCGCGGTACACTTCATAATGAATGATCTCAGGATTTCCCCGGGAAAATCTCCAAGACAGGCTCTTCCACTCCTTTTGGCTATAACGACATGCAGTGTGATTAAGGTGAAAATCTAGGCAGATATTAATTTTCTAATAACAAAAGTAAAGTAACAGTAACAAAGGCCAGTTTGATTTGTTTATATAATCCCAACAAATGGCCACGCACTTTTTGAAATAACTTATCTCCAATCCATTTTTCCTCCAGAGGACTTTTCATAACGCATTGTTTCCACAAAATAGACAACTATAATTACCAAAATAACATGCACAAGGACAAAACAAATGGCAAAAAAAGAGTCAACCCTTCAAATTAATTTCTGAATTGAAAAGCTTAAAAGGGCTATGTATGTGTTAAATACAGCCTGCAAAGCATATTATCTATTTACAGTGTTTTCTGTAAATACCTCCGTTGTAAGGTATTATTTTCGACCAGTGTCCTATCTCTAGTTCGCAGATACTCGGAATGTCCATCACATTCTGAAATTGTGGTGAATGTTTTAAAGAAGTACAAAATGTCATCCACACATGTATCCATGGGCACATCTAGAGGGCCCACGGAACTAACAGGAAATAATGGTCTGGGAGGAAGTCTCCTCTTACCAGGCGCAGGGCAAGAAGAATTCAATCATTATTTCCTGGAAAGTGTGCGCCCAACCTGTGGCCTGCACCCGAAAAAGCCAACAGTTCATCAGCAACTTGAGCTTTTCCTCCCACACGCCGCAGGCGCACATTCTTCACTTAACCCAAACGGAAAGCGCGCGACAGAAGGAGGAGGTGAAGCCCACAAAGTCACTTGCAAGAACAAACTCCCGCAAATCTCATCGCTGCAGCTTTCCAAGTAGCCCACCCACATTCCGTGTCCGCCCATTCTCTACAAGCTGGCTTTTTTTTTTTTTTTTAACTGGAGGTTTAGAAGAAAAAGGTAGATAGGAAAGGGTGGAGCCTGACGACTCGGCAAAGCGTTTTAGAAATGCCTTTACCTCTCCAGCGTGAAGTTTCCTACGAGAGCGGAGCCCAACACGACGGCCGGCCTCCCGCAGCCGCCCCAGCCTGCGCACACGACTGCACACGCACAGCCGGGTCGGGAAGGACCCGCGCGGCGCGTCCGAGGACGACGAGGGCGCTGACTGCGGTGGACTCGAGCCTGGGCCTCCGCGGTTCCGTCAGGACCTGGAGCAGGCAAAGCGCTCCGAAGTTAGAGCTCGAAATTGGGGCTGAAAGGGAGCCGCCCGGTTAGGTAGCCGGGGTGGGCGCCCGGGCTTCTCCGAGCGTTCTCCGCTAGAGCAAGGGGCGGAGACAGGAGCCGGGCTGGGAGGCGAAGGCTGGCGGCGACCTAGCGCTCCCACCCGTTGCCGCCGCGGTGCGCAGAGCCAGGCGCCGGGCGCTTCCGCCGCTCCCGCGAGCTCCCGGGCATTTATTGCGGTCCCTGCGCGCGCACGTGACGTGAGCGCCCCTCCTCGCCCACCCCCACCTCTACTCAGCCTGGCCCGCTGCCCGCTGTGGAGCATGGAGCAGCCGCGCTGTTTCCCCCCCGGCCCGGCGAAGCCTGGACGCTTGGCCTTGTGGGCGTGCTTTGGGATTCAGAGGTCCGGAGTACAGGTCTGGACCCTGGCGGGGGGACGTATGCAAGGAGGGCCCCCACTCCTCCCGCCCCTCACAGCTCCTCTGCTTTCGGAGGCCTTCTTCCTAGTTCCTTTCAGAGATGCTAAAATGGCTTTAACTACCCTTACGGAGAAGGGGGCGCTCCAGAGAGCATGCAGAGGGAGCAGGGATGGGTTAACACCTTAGACCCTAGAGATGCAGAAGAGGTACTGGGGAGAAGGGGATGGGGAAAGAAAGGCTTTTTCTTTTATTTTCTCCAGGAGATCACTTCTGTTTTCCAGGACCCAGTTCTAGAATTGAGATGTTGTTCTTTTTGGCTCCATTAAACTCTTATGATGACCAGATGGGGAAGGGGTTTCATAGAACGATGTTGTGAGCTGTCACTTGCCTGACAGTTGAGAGTCCCACTTCGTCATCCATAAGATATGGGACATTCATTTCCCAAAGTGACCAGAAGAAAAAGTGACCAGTGTTTTTTTTTTTTCTTTTCTAGGAATGTAGATATTTTTGGCGTTGACATATAAAGGGCACCCGCAATTAATTTATCAATGCTATACTAACAGGAATTAAAAACCCAGCTCTAGAACTGATAGGGAAATGAGTGTCAGTTTCCCTGTTGTCCGTGTTATTATCTGGAGTACTAAAATTACTAACTTTAAATTCACGGAAACTCATCCTACTGAATGTGATGCTCCTTCTACAGGAAGGGTTTTTTATTAAGAAGCATTTGTTTAATTCATTTACCTTTGCTTTCCTTCTATAGTGAACCATGATTTTAATTCTTTACTTCTAAATGCTACAGTATATAGCATATGATCAAAAGAAGTAAAACATTTGACAGTAACTACCAAATCATCCCAAGCTGCTACCTGTCTCCTTCCACCATATAATTACACTTTATCAAACCTAAAAACTGAGATTTAAGCCTCTAGTTGAGTATGAGACCTTGCTTCTTCTCACAGTAGAGAACAGGGAAGCATCACTTATCGAGGGCACAGAAGGTGAAAGATTTTGGTGCACATATGACTTTCATAGAAGGTGTAATTTTGCAACTTCATAGCAGTTTAAGCCCAAAAGGCTTGATTTATACTTTTCAAAATTATTTATAACTCTTCTGCGCAGGGTTCAGAAAACTGGCTTTCTCTCCTGGAAACTACAGTTTTAATGTGGTATTGAAAAGTATATGGAGTAGCAAATAAAAAATCTTAAAAGTGAGGCGCCTGGGTGGGTCGGTAGGTTAAACGTCCAACTCTTGATTCTGTCTCAGGTGGTAATCTCACGGTTTGTAGGATCAAGCCGCATGGGACTCTTGGGATCAAGCCGCATGGGACTCTTGTGCTGACAGCATGGAGCCTGTTTGGGATATTCTCTCACCCTCTCCCCTCTTCCTCCCCTGTTCTTGCTCTCTCTGTCTCAAAAAATAAATAAATAAACTTGAAAAAAATAAAAATAAATAAAAATTTAAAAGTCTTAACAGTAATAGCATTAGTTGAAATTTTTTTAAATGCTTATTTATTTATTTTGAGAGAGAGAGAGAGAGAAAACACAAGAGACAGTGGGAGAGGGGTAGAGAAAGAGGGAGATAGAGAATCCGAAGCAGGCTCCACACTGTCAGCACAGAGCCCGATGCTGGGCTTGATCTCATGAATCATGAGATCATGACCTGAGTCAGATATCAAGTGTCAGACTCTTAACCAAAAGAGCTACCCAGGAGCCCCATTACTTAAAATATTTTTAAAGTGAATTTAAATTGGGAAGAAGGGAGTTAAGATGATAAGGACTTGAAGTTAAATGCATTTATATTTGAATGTTTCCATTATAAACCTTTCCACACAATATACAAATCATATACCTAAAGGCTTACATTAAAGAAAATTAGATTTGGTTTTAAGGTTTTAATTCCAAACTCACCAGACAAGGATAAAAAAGTTTGTATCCTTTGGCTCAGCATTTAAATTGGCTTCCAACTTGGTGCTGCCGGTCATATTTTTATGTAAAAGAATGATTCAAACATTCATTGTATTAAATATTAACATTTTGATAATACATCTGGTCATATATGATTTAATGTATGTGTTGCAAATATTTTGAAGAGCAAAATGAAACACAGTATTCTTGAATACTTAAAGATGATCACTTCACATTTTTATTTGTTGTTAAGAAATCTACATGCAGGGAGAGTGAACATCTCAGCACTGAGTGCATGTAAAAATGACACATTGGTTTGTGGCTAAGGATGTTCCTTGGAAAGTCATGTTTGTTTTTACGATTTCTACTGTCTTGTGGCAGACACTGTTGATTGCCTAACCGACAACCAGCCTTCCACCCCTTTTTTCCAAGCCTCCGGTATACTGGGGGTGGTCACCCTTTCACATGCTGTCAAACTGGCATCCTTAGGAGGTGAATGTTGATTAGTCAAAGCCAATCAACACAATGTATCCCTGCTAGGAGTGATTGATTTAGCATGGATTTACAGGCAACAGTGGTTACTGAAAGGATGGAGTAAATCTGCTTAAGTATGAGGAAGAGGGCTGGCAAGGTTTTCTTTTGTGATAAAAAGAGATGCGGAAAGAGAAAATGCCCCTGCACGTGCTGATAAGTTTGTGAAATTTAAAGATGCAGCAGTTCTTGTACAAAGAAGACAGGCAAGCCTGAGAGCAGAGAATTACCAACATGGCAGAATGGAAAGACAGATGTGTCTGAGTCTCTCTGCCATTGACCTGTCGTTGAACACCTAGCCTCCATGTTTCTGCCTGCAAGAGATAATAAATGTAATGTTTAGGCCATGTTGACTTGGGTATTCAATTACTTGCAGCTCAAAGTATTCAAACAGACATATTCTACAAAGAAGATACTTTGGCAATGTCACTTTCTCCATGCTGCTCTCATTTTATACTAATGTGCATACTTAGGTGCTGTCTTTAAATATATTTGTATGTGTTTTTCTATCCCTGCACTTCCAAAAGTAGGAACAGGCATACCTCAGAGATTTTGTGGTTTAATTTCCAAACCATTGCAATAAAGCAAATATCATAATAAAGCAAGTCAAATGATTTTTTTAAATTTCCCAGTGGATATGAAAGTTGGGTCTTATACTATAGTGTAGTCTATTAAGTGTGCAATGGCATTATGTCTAGAGAAACAATGTATATGCCTTAATTAAGTATTTCTAAAAAATGATAACCATCATCTGAGCTTTTAGTGAGGCATAATTTATTTTATTTTATTTTATTTTTTTGCTGGTAGAGGGTCTTGCCTCAGTGTTGATGGCTGCTGACACATCAGGGTGCTGGTTGCTAAAGGTTGGGTGGCTGTGGCAGTTTCTTAATTTGCCACATTGACTCTTTCATGAATGATTTCTCTGTAGCATGTG